GTTGGTCTGGTTGGCTCATCAGCTTGGTTTTTCAATTAACAATTTGACAATTGAACTTTTTTTTTTTATCACAAGAGAATTACAACACTTCTACTTGCAAAGCAAAAGTGAGGGACAGTTGAACTTCAATACTGAATTTTATTGATTAAAAAAAAAAATAGATATATATACGCAAAGAAGTTCAAGTGTGCCCAATGGGCATTACAGGAGCAAACTTCCAAAAGAGAATTGGTCCAACCAGGGCCGGCTGGCACCGCTAGGCAAGTCCCACTCGCTTAGAACCTCATTCGCGTATCTCTTTTAAAATAATATGATTAAAGTTTTTAAAAAAATTAAGATGTTACATCAAATAATCAAAAATTGTAAAAATATTTTTCTTCAAATCATCAAAATATATATATACATTCAAAAAAAAAAGATTGCACCATATTCTGGTACAAAAAGTTGCAAGACTCTATGTTTATTTTATTTGAATTTTCAATAACTCTGACCTATTTATTTAGTTTTATTTTCTTGAATTATAATTTGAGATAATTTTGATCCTAATATAATCATTCACACAGTATATTTATTTTACAAGTTGTTTTTAACCTTAAATATACTTACTAAAATATATGGATTGAATTATTTAAAATTATGTACCAAAAAAGAAATATTTAAAATTAAAAACAAAAATAACTAAATTATTTATTTTAACAAAATTTAGAGCCCCATCAAAAATTTCAGTGTGATCTACCACTCTGCATAAGTATCGCCTCCATGTGATTTTTTGAGAAAGTCCACTCTTCTGAGAACCAATATTTTTTTTCGTCAAATGCCCCTATGAGTCATTACATTTTATATATCAATAGCCTGCCTAACTGCCCGATCATTTTTGTGATTTCAACTCTAAGGGTTTGTTCGGTTGAATTTTTTAGAGTGGTTTGAATTAATTTCTTTAAATTCAAACCCTTCTTTACAAATATGAGATTCAACATTCAATCCGATTCATACTCATATTTGATATGCAACATGTACATATGTAAGACTCACGAATATATCATAATTATTAACAACTATTTATCTTATAAATAACTATTTTATCATTGATCAATTCAATTCATACCTATGTTATTGTCTTGTATATCTTTATTCTCTTAACTCATCTTTTTAAATTTATCCTCTTCTTAGATTTAAAAAAATTCATCATCATGAGTTTAATCTTCGAACCGACGACTACCGTGTCTTATTTGAAAACTCCAAAAGCAATTTTTTACTCGGATTTTTTATGATTCACCAAATGATAAGGACTTACAGTACCCATTCAACCCGGAGATGTTGATTTTTCAAGACTAGTCCTTCGACGTGACCGCTTCACGTGCCACTGACTAGTCAGTACAATTACAAGATTAGGTGAAGACTAAACCAACGTAGTGTGTGTGTGTGTGTGACAGTGTGAGAGACGGAAGAAGTAAAATAGGTGCAACAAAGCTGGCTGGAATGTTAGTTGTCAATTGGCACAAAATGTCTGCAAGTTTTTCTTCTACACGTAAGAGTTTGTGGTGAGGAATCAACAGATTCAACACTGTTCGGTGAAAAACCCATAAATGAAATATTTCAATGAAAAGAAAATTAAAATGGATTAGATTTGTGAGCGTAAGCAAGTACAAAACAAAGATTTTGTAGTACACCAATTTATTTTGACCTAAGATTTTACCGTACAATAATTTATCACAACAATTAAATTAATTACGAGTTCAGACAAATGTTAGGACTTATTATCAATCTAATGATCGTGAGTGATTAGGTTCAAATAGCATTCCTCCGAGCCTAAAAAGGTGTAGCTAAGAGTTTTATTTGATGAATTCATGTAATTAGTTGTTGTTAACGGCAATTTTTTTAGTTTTATATAGAACCTATCAAAATCGATAGCACGATATATATTTGGATTGTCATCAATTCCAATTTATCGAATTACATGTGGGAATAAAATATTCAAAAATTGCCCAATAATGCACAATTTTTTTATTAATTTATCAAACGATCAATAATTTCAACTTAATTACTTGGCATTTGCACCACGACAAAGAGATTCCATTCATTTGATTTTATTTTCAATAAATTCAACACAAATCCATCAAGTAACCAGAGCCAGGATTATTTATTAAGGGGGGCCAAATGAGAACATAACATAATTTTTTTTTAATGAGGTATCATTATATTAAATTCGTAATTGTATAGAATTTATTAAAATCAACTTTTACACAATACGTTATAAAAATATATTTTAAAAAAATAATTTAAACTTGTCAAGATTAGGCTGTAATAAAAGTAATTTAAGATCAATTCATCAAATAATCATTTGTTATTGTCATAATGGCTCGATCAAATTATAAAGGTCTAAAGTATAAATTTAAAACTATAGAGGGTCATGTCAAAGCATCATTTTAGAGGTATTTTGAAAACTTAAGTCAGATAAACATAATATTAGAGGATTAAAGTATAATTTTAGAAACTTAGCCCCTCTATCTATTACCATCGCCACTATACAACAATCCTTGTGGTGGGCAGAGGATGGATTGAAGTTAAATACAAGTGTATTAATTACTAATATTTTGTTATTTTCTATTTAACCGCCTATAATTTTATTACTATCATATAAAAAGACCTATAGTTTCTCTTATACCACATTTAACGACCTAAGTTTATCTATTCTAATTCTTTATCATTGTTTCTATATATACACATGTACTGTATCTACACGGCCTTGTACCTCACGTAATCATTATAAAGGAGATGGATTGAATTACGTGAAGTGCAAGAAACTCAAAGTCACTAATGAATATTATCTATCAATACATTCACTGGTTAGGTAAAACTTATTTGGGTTATATAAATTATAATATATAAGATAGAGTTGACAAATGCAGAGCTATTTTTATGAATAATAGTATAAGAAATAGTATTTCCGTTTTATGTACTAAATTTTAAATATGATGTTGTATTCTATTTCTACTACTCTTCTTGGCTTCTAGTCAAGTTACAGCTAACATTTCCATTAATTTTTTATTTATTTATTTATTTATTGCTATATTTTATTTTTTATGACAGCAACGTTGAGTGAAATATTCTAACTCATTTATTGATTGATGTAAGAAAAAGAGACTAACGGACATGTTTGCTTCCCTGTCATGTCGTCATTCATCAATTTCTGAAAGTCGTTGATTGAGTGGTAAGCCATGTCTATCTCTTAATTTTGCGCCGACGAAGACAAAATTCATATGGGAGGTGAGGGTTAGGCTCGACCCAACCTGTAAAATCCAATTCGTTTCAAATTTCAAAATCCAATGTGCTTCTTGAATACAGTAAGATTTGGTGGTTATGTGGTTAAATTCTCATCATTCAAAATTAGTTACAAGATCTTTCAGTAAATTCAGAAATTGACAGGAGCCAAACCCCAGAGGTTGATAGCAATGTGTGTGTCTCTCTCACTCATTACACACAATTATATAGATACAATAGGATAGTCCTAATAGCAATGCCTCTTATGCGTGTGTCCAAAACAAGGTGCACTTGTACTGAATAAAAAAATTTGATATGTTATTTTCAAAATTTATTATTTTTGTCGGTGTTTTATTATTATTCTGATATTTATTTTAAATGTTTTTCGTCGGTATAAAAAAATACTATACTACTTTTGTTGGTGATTTATTATTTCTATAATAATAAATATTTTTATCATTTTTATTCGATACTATAACAACGATAAAAATACTTATAAAAATGATAAATATCAATATGATTTCATAGGCAACTCCAACAAGTCTCTCAGCTTTGGCACTCAAGTCACGGGAGATTCTATTTAGATATCGTATCTTTAAAATTTATTACTTTTAACGATTATTTTAATAATTTTTATAAGTTATTTTACAACCAAAAAATTTATCATTTTTTATAAGTAGTTTACCAAAAATTTACCATATATGTGAGTTTTTTTTATCAATGTAGTAATAATTATTTTCACCACTTTTTTCGATGCAATAACAATAATAAAGACATTCACAAATGTCGTAAATGTGATTATCAAAAATCATTTTTTCAGTACCATTAAACGTGACTGGAAAAGTCACTAGCACTAAATCAGTAATTACTAGTCATATCATCGGCCACCCCAACCCAGTAACGGTTACATTAATCTGCAGCGCAGCGTATAGAAAGAGCGAGTCTACATGAGCAAGCTATGCAGTCCATATTCATCATACACAACACACATCCATATCAATACTAATTCGTTTAATAATATATAATAATACGACATCACGCATCGGTCATTGGGAAAAGATCATTTGAAAATAATGAATCAATATATCATCTAGTATCGTGATGGTCACAAGCCCTCCTCTATAATAACAGAGGAGGAGAAGAAACCGTGAACATAATCATCTTCATCAAGGACAATCAGACCAAAACTCACACTAGAGGAAAACAAAAGGATAGATTCAAAAAAAACCCCAAGATAATCTGCCATTAAAACTCGATTCAAGAACCAGTTTTTGTTTTGGAAGTCTCTTTACTTACTTATGAAAATAAAAGGCCAAATCATCTATCAGACATCACCATTACTAACTAATTACTTGCATCAATCGGAGGGTAATTATCAAACCATGAAGATGCCAGCAACACAAACATAAACACAAACACAAGGAAAGAAATACCACGCATCATGGAAGGTGCCTTCATGACCATCTAAGAACTCACAAGTGAGCAATGAAGGCAACTACTCCTTTCAACCATTATCAAAACTACTGAATATAACACAAATGAAAATGTTTAATAGACTTAAAAACTTGACTTGATGAATCACTACTATTAAATAGATAGTGAACCCCAATATATAGTAGAACTCACGGTTAAATCAATGACAAATATAACATTCACATCATCAAGTCAAGTTGTTAAGTAAATTTTTTAAGTCTGTTTAGCATTGCTCCAACACAAAATATAATCTCATCCTCTATTCACTTGTGGGACTGAAGTGAAAGAACTCCTCTCATAAGGGATCAAAGGTGCTTGCAAAATACAATATTAAATTGATCCCAAAAAATTATCGATTAACCAAAACTAAGTCATTGTACATTGGCAAAAATACTCTAAACCAAAATAGAGCCTTTTTCTCTTAATGGCTAAAAGGGTCAGAAAACAGTCTCCTTAGATCCACAACACTTGGGCGTACACAAAATTTTCCAATATTAGTGTACACACATGGTTAAGTAATTTAAAATTGCATGTCGCGTGTATAATATATCCTAGAAAAGCACATTCTGGACGAGAAATTTCCATTAAGATATGTACCAGCCTAAAAAGGATCACTCCACAAGTCATGTCTGAAGGCTGTTTAACGCCTCCGACGAGATCCAGAGCTAGACCTTGGACCTGGGTTCTTTGAAAATTGCAGGCGTAAGTATGCAGAATCAGGATCATGTTCATCCATCTTATAACCTGTGGGGGTACACCAGCAATGTTAAGATTTTTTCCAATAAGAATGAAAACAACACTACTGACACGAACTTAAGATCTGCAAGCATGTCTAGACCAGTAAAATACTGAGCAGCAACCACTTCACCAAATTTCGATAGATACTGCCCGAGAGATATTGCTTATGATTACGCCTTCCAACTATACAATTTCTTTTGAGCTTCACAAAGTAAATACATCATTTGAGATAGATATGAGTCACTGAAGGAAATATAGCAATTGTTTCTCATCCCATAACAACTCCATGTTCACACCTACCTTAACATCTCTAAGAAATATAAAAAGTGTGTATAACCAGAGATAACTAAACAACCAACAGATTTTACACAAGTTGCATCAAGCATAAAACTCATGGTAACAGCAGCTGCGAAAGTTCTTCTCCATTACCAAATATAATAAATATATACTTGAAGCTGATACAAAGTGTCAAGTGTCAACATTATGAAAATAATAAAGACAAAAGTAATAACCTTGCAATGCGCTCAAAGCTGTGGCTGCACAAGCAGGATTTACAAAATCCACAAAACAAAGGATCAGGGGATCTCCACCACGCTGCAAAAAGGGGTAAACAAAGACTTAGTGAAGAGAATAGAATCACTTTTGGACAAGGCAATGTTAGTAACTAACAAACAAAGTAAAGCGAAGCAGGCAATGAATCATTAATTAAAAACTCATAATCAAATTACATGTCTGGATTCCTTGATCACAAGTCTAACTTCTCTATACCCTACAAAAGGGCGGAAAATATCTAGAGACATGGCTAAGGATTGTGAATGAATCAGAAACTGATGTCAACACTACTGACAAAGAGTGTAGAAACTATAAAAACAGCTATCAAAGGAATTCCCTCCCAGCATAATAACATCTTAGAGGATACGAGCTACTTCTCTTGTCGTGCTGTTGGAAGGTAGTCCCTCAACATATATAGTACTGGAAGCATCGGGAGGGAGAGGCAGACTTTCGCGGCCTGGCCTTGCCATTGCATCAACTGAGAGCTGACCACCAACTCTGATACCTCGACCATTTGGTGCTACATCTGAAAAAATAGCCCTCGGATGACCAAGCCCAACAGGATCAGCCATGGAAAGAGCAGGCATGCCACCACCGACAGTGCTTCCTAACCGGACTCCGCCAAAATTACTAGCTTCAGCAGAAGTAAAAGAAGGAAGTTGCTACAAAAGCAACAGCATAAATGTTTTAGCACAGAAAGAGGCATAGCAGATGAAAGCAACCATGACACATAGACTCAGAGGGTACCACATTTTGGAGGTAACTGTCATATGCTGATCCAATTGTTTTAGTGTCATTCACTCCAGAATGTGGAAGATCTGAAATGGTAAGAGAACCAGATGTGAATACCACTTTACTTCGATATGACTAGAATAATAATGCAGTCATAAAGCTTCAGCCTTCAAGCAATATCCAACACATGAAATCAATTTTTTTTTTCATTCCACCCTCCCATACATGACATTATATGCATGCGTTCACCAAGTAACTTAAATATTCATGGTTTTACAAACCTACAACAATTTTGTGGAAGGTAAGCAGCAGAAATTAAATGGTACCACCAAGGTGCCAAAGTTTGTTGGGCCTAACCCAAAGCCCAACTCAAAATTCATCAAAGCAAGACTCATGTTGGACAAAATATGTAACAATTAATAATTTCACCGCAAATACAAACATTCAATGCACCAAATTCCAGACAATTTTAGCTGCATACAACATATACAGATCTTCCCATCAACATACATGATACGACCACAAGAGATGGAAATATTCTTAGCTAACTCAATCACCTTTCAACATCACATTTCAGATATCAAAAAAAATTTTGCTAAAATAAAGCTAACTTAATGGAAATACAGAGGATGATACAACTCATTCTAGCTGATGTCAATTGCGTAGAGCATATTTCCAAACAAAAATAAATGACTTTCGGCATCAAACTCCTGCAAACATCACATATCAACAGTGTTTTATAAAATACAACTAGTTTCAAAATTTTGAACATCTTTAAGCAATTGCAGCATCAGATTTCATAAAAAAGAGAGGAAAAAGTTTCTAAAAAATGTTCAATAAGAAGAAAGAGAAATGAGCAAAGCTAGAGAGTTGAAAGAGTAGAGAGAGAGAGAGAGAGAGAGGGAGAGGCTTATTTTTAAAACAGAGGTTGACTTCAATAAATTGGGTACTAGTGTCACGAAAAAAAAAAGAAACAAAAATGGGCTACATAGAAAGAGAGATCAAAGATAAATGCAGAGAGATATGTAGCAAGAGTGAGGATGATGCAAATAAAAGAAAAAGACCGAAATTTATGATCCCAAAAAAGTAGCTATACTCGGAGACAGATTAAAGTAGATCTGTGAAGTGCACGTGTAGAATTTTGGATTAGAACCAGATATTTATGCTTGGATTTCCAATCCGGTATTATGCAAATCAACTGTAACAATCAAAGCCATCTGACCAACAACAAATATTATCAGCTAAAGGGAAAAATACCAAAGTCCTAGGTGTTTCATGATTATGCCCAAGGCTGTGCCTCGGAGATGTCAATTGAGACATATTAGACATGTCAAGTGCACTGCTTTTAGCAACTGAATTTGTAATCTTAACCTCTGTACCATTAGCATCATCAATAGCTGTATTCGATAAAACCTCCTTTACAGAAGATGAAAGGGATGTTACCAAATCAGCAGTTTCATCTTTCTTATGGCTAATAATGTTCAAAATTATTTCAGCATTTCTTGTGATATCTGAATCTCTTTCACACATCCTGGCCCCTTACTCACATAATTAATGTTAGGTACAACTTTGGTAATGTCAGAAGTAGGATAAAGGCAACTTTTTTAACAACACTTGTAAATGCCCATGCCTCCTCAAAGTTTCTGCCCCGAATTTCAAATAAAATCTTTTACAAACTATGCCTTTGGTGAACCCTTAAGACGGTTAGATCTACAAAGAGTCGCACAAAAGAATCCAGAAGTGACATTGTTGAGATAGCCACAATAGCAAACCCTAGAAACACACAAGGTGGACAATACAGAACTATATACAAGAATTACACAATACAGTCAATTTAACCTCAAATCGCAACAACAAAAGCAAGATTAGACCAATACAGTGTCAAATTGATGCAGCAAGACCACGATTTCGATATGCAAAATTAGTTCACCAGAAAACATTCGATTCAATTTCACCAATCTCGTGGGCTCATAGACATATAGACGATACATTTACATACTTTGATATTGAAATTAGAGCATGGAATAGTTTACCATAGTCATAACGAGGTCGCTTGAGCAAGCCCGCTGAGGGATGCAGAGACGGTTGATCATTCCAGTATCCATCCGCCATCTCTTCTGTAATAAAAATTATACTTTCTTTTTTCGTTTTTGGTGTGTGTACAGGAATATGTTTATGTATCCATTCTTACGCATACACAATTGTATAGATCGAGAGAGAGAGAGATAGCAGTGAAAACCCTAATGGAGAGAGGGCGTACCTTGGTTTGAGTTTGAGCTGTAAAACCCTAGCTCGGTTTTGGCTTCCGCTCCACGAATTGAGTTCGATCCCTTCCTCTTTCACTCTCGGTCGGGGAAGAAGATTTTGAAGCGTCGACTGGTTTGAGAGTTACGGCCTGTTTGGTTTGTATCGACATTTGAGAAGAGTTTTAAGTATGTGTTTTTAAAAATTTTAAAATTATAAAATTTATTTAATTATATATTTTTAAAAGTAATTTTAAAGGATAAAAATTATAAAATTTATTTAAATAATAATCTATAACTTTTTCACATTTTCTCAACTCTCTCTGTCATTGTGTTTCACCCAACACTATAACCGAGAACCACCATCAACCCCAACATCTACAATCACCATCAATCCAACACCCACAACCACCCAAATCCACCACCAAGACAACCATTAACCCAAATTGAGAACCACCCAACGCCCACAACTACCACCAAGCCACATCGAGAACCACCCACCACTCACCATCAAGACCACCACCTAAACCAAGAACCACCCAACACCCCACAAACCACCACCAACTCATACCAAGAATCACTCAATACCCACAATCACCACCACCACGCAAAACGAGAACCATCACCCAATATCCACAACCACCACCAAAAGATCTGTGCTTCTAGTCGTCGGATCTATGCTTCCAGTCATTGGATTTATGGGTTGAAGACACAGCCATGGTGTCGGCACAAGAGAGAGAGAGAAAGGGGGTCAGAGAGAGATGAGGGAAAAAGAATGCAAAAAAAAAAAGCTTTTATATTGATACAATAAGTGCACAGTAAATAGATATGTGCGTTTTTCTTGTTTTCTGTTTTTGTGTTTCAAATCTCATTTTTTTCGAAAATTTTGAGAACAAAAAATTATTTTGCAGATGTTAACCAAACATGGCCTTAATTTTTGATAGGGTTTTTAATTTTTTTTTATTGACCATGTCCACGTTAACTTACGTGTAATTTAATTAATTTTTTTTCAAAACTAAAGATTAATCATCTACATTAAGACTAGAATATTTATAAAAGGTAAATCTCTCCGACCTTAATTTTTTATGGTTAATTAAAAGAGTTAAATGGGAATAAAAAATCTATTAAAAATACTCTTATACTTCATATTCGTGTGACGAAATAAAAAGTCTAGTAAAAATACTCCTACACTTTATATTTGTGTGACAGAGTATTTTATCTTAATACCACAGTTTTCTACAAAAAAAACTCTATTGTATTTATGTGAGGATCGAAGCAGGTTTATCTTGCCCGAACAATAATAGTTATGAAGACTCAAACATAAATATTAAGCGATAAAATTTAAATTCTTATCTACTAAACTAACTACTCGGTGATTAAAAACATTTTACGACTTAGAGCAATGTATTCAAATTCAATCAGACTTAAACTTAAAAAAGTTCATATGTGCACAAAGATTTTCAATAATCTCAAACCAAAATGAACTTTAAAATATTCATGTGTACAGGATTTTCAATAATCTAATTATGGGCGAGAAAAAAAAATCTCAACTTGATATTTAAATTCATACACTAATCATTTTGCGATCTTGAATTTTTAGGATAAAACCTGAACATAAATAAAATTTGTGTATTCGGATTAACATGAATTAAACTTGAATTTCAACTCAATCATTCAGCCATGGACTGGAACCTGATTTTAATGAGAATTGAACTCAAAAAACCCCAATTCTGATCGGAATTGTAGAGTTCAATTTTAAAACTTTAAACATGAATAGTACTTGAATTATATAGTATTTAGAGATTTATAACCAATCAGGTTGAGCTTTCAACATCTCTAATTTACACAATAGGTAGGCCCAATGTTTTCACTTGGGCTGCCCAATTTAGCCCATCACATTGCGGTAAGTAGACCATGGTTTTTCGATAATTCAAATCCAAACACCTTCTCCTCCATAACTCCACCTTAAGCAGTCTATCCAACTTCCATGTATAACACGCCAATGTATTTATAACACTTTGCTTTCTAGAAGTTACATGAATCAGAAGGCACCTGACATAGTGGTTGTCCCTAGCCTCAGCCATGTATCACCAATCTCATATCGGTTAGGTAGGTGGGCTTATAAGATGTTAGACAATTCTCCACCTAACAATATACTAAGAAGTTGGAGACGCCGAAGATGAAGGCAACTACTCCTTTCAAGCATTATCAAAAAGTATTGAATAAAATAAAAAATATAATCCCACCCTCTATTCATTTGTGAGACTGAACTCCTCTTATAAGGGACCAAAGGTGCTTGCAATATACAAAATTATCGATCAACCAAAACTAAGTCATTGTAAATTGGCAAAACTATTCTACACCAAAATAGCGCCTTTTTCTTTTAATGGCTAAAAATTGGAAGGTCAAAAACAGTGTCCTTATCCCCAAAATAGTAGGCGTACAAACACAAATCTTCACTGTTAGTGTACACACATGGTTAAGCAATCTAAAATGGTATGTTGCGGGAATAATACATCCTAGAAAAGAACATTCTGGACGGGAGATTTCCATTAAGATATGTACCAGCCGAAATAGGACCACTCAACACGTCATGTCTGAAGACTGTTTAACGCCTCCGACGAGATCCAGAGCCAGACCTTGGACCAGGGTTCTTTGAAAATTGCAGGCGTAAGTATGCAGAATCAGGATCATGTTCATCCATCCTATAACCTGTGGGGAACAGCAGCAATGTTAAGTTTTTTTTCCAATAAGAATGAAAACAACAATAATGATACAAAGTTAAGATCTGCAAGCACGTCTGGAACAGTCACATACTGAATGGCATGGCAACCACTTCACCAATTTCCATAGATACTGCCTGAGAGATATTACTCATGATTACACCTTCCAACTATAGCATTTTCTTTTGAACTTCACAAAGTAAATACATCATTTGTGATAGATATGAGTCAAAGAAGGAAACATAGCAGTTGTTTCTCATCCCATAACGACTCCATGTTCACACCTACCTTACCATGTCTGAGAAAGATAAGCGTGTATGACCAGAGACAATTGCATGACCAACCGGAGTTACAGAAGTTGCATAAAGCATAAAACTCATGGTAACAGCAGCTGTGAAATTTCTTCCTTCTCCATTACCAAATATAAACACATAAATATATACTTTAAGCTGATAAAAAGTGTTAAGTGTCAACATCATTGTGAAAGTAGAGGCTAGGGTTTAGAGAATGAGGCAAAGAGGACTGGAGAACGTAATAACGTCTCTCCCTCACTCCATGCATATATATATATATATATATATGAATGCAAAAATAATAGAAAGACTAATATACCCATGAAAGGTAGACTTATTACATCCTTGTCATTCCTATATTCTAACACTCCTTCCCCCCCCCCCCCAAGCTGGCTAATATATCGTATAATCTCCACTTGGAACAAATCTCTCAAACAAGTACTACTCAAAGACTTGATGAACATATCAATATTAGCAAGCTGGTCCTCTCCACATAACACCCTTTTCTTGAACCAAGTGGCCATCAATATCAATGTATTTCGTTCATTCATTAAACACGGGATTAGAAGCTATATGAACAGCTTTTTGATTATCACTGAACAACTGAAGTGGATTTTGAACTGAAAAAACCAATTTCCCTGAAAAAAGTATTGTAACCACATAAGCTCACTACATGTATGAGTCATTTCCCCATATTCAGCTACTATAGTAGATCGTACTATTACTGTATGCTTCTTACTATTTCATGTAACCAAATTACTTCCCAAAAAGGTACAATATTCTGTAGTGAACTATCTTTTTGAGGAAGACCCTGCCCAATTTGTATATGTGAACCCTTCTAACCAAAGATGCCCGTGCGACTAATACAACAATTCAAGTCTACAAGCTCGGTTGAGATATCGATTGATCCAAAAATAGCAGCCCACGGAGTACTCGAAGAGTTTCCATAAATTGACTTACTACACTCGCTGCATATGAAATATTTCGTCGATTACTAGTGAGGTAGTTCAACTTCCCAACTAGGCAACGGTATCGTCCAAGATTAGAAAAACATTCACCCTTAGTCTATGATTTGAATCCATAGGGATATCAATTGGTCTACCACCCAAAAAACTTGTTTCCTCCAAAAGATCAAGCCCGTATTTTCTCTGGGACAGACTAATGCCTTGTCAAGATCTAGCAACTTTAATACCAAGAAAATATCTAAGCTTGCCTAAATTTTTTATATGAAACCAATGTTGTAGAAAATGTCATAACTCGGCAATACATACAAAATCATCAACTATAATGATAATATCATCAATCATAGTTGTCAAATCGTGATTCGTATCGTGAATCGAAATCCTAAATTTGAGAATCGTATCGAATTGTGAATCGTAAAATTTGACACAAAATTTGAACAAAAATTAAAAATAATATCTACATATTTAAAATAGGCAAGATATTGAATATTAAACATTATTGCATTCTAAAAATAATTAATTGACATAATCATGTTTAAATGAAAATACGCTAGCCTTTTATTTCATTTTCATATTTTGCTTAACAATTTTCAAATTCAACACATTGAAAAAAAAAATCATTAAAGAACCATAGCTATTCAAGAACCAAAATAGTGACACCCAGTATAGATTAAGTTACAAACATGAACAGAAAAGAACAAATAAGAAAATTGATAAGGATAAAATATGCAGGCCAACATTTTGAAATAAAAAATTAAAACCAAACAAACTACCCACAAAAGAATTGAGAACAAAAATCAAAATTTATTCTAAAATATGGTGACAGGAGATAGAACAATTCAATGTAAAAAAATGAAGAAAAAGGGCATGTTAGAGCTTACTTACTGTTACGAAGAAGATGAGACATACTTTCAGTCGATGACGCGAGAGCTTTAACCATGACCTATGAAGCACGAACACTCAAGAACGTGACGCATCCGTGTCGGACACCGACATTCTTCGGATACTCTCGGACATGTGTCCGATACTCTTTTATCCGTATCCATAATTAAATTTTTAATTTCGAACACGTGTCAAACACTTTTTTAAAACGTGTCTATTACTAAATAGTAAACATTTGTTGAAATGTGATTACCAAAGGTTAAAAAATTGATAACATATAATTACTAATACTAGACATGTTAAAGTTGTACTTCAAATATAATAATAAAAATAAAAGATGCATAAAAATTTTAAAAAAGAGGAATTGAGAAATGAGAGCAATTAGTTAAATTATATATTAGGTACACATTGTCTACAAAAAAAAATTGATGATTATCGACTATGATGAGGATGTTTTAGTCTAAAAATTCACACAGATGACTAGACATAAAATTTTCTTAATCATAAAATATTAATTTTTTTATGAATTGTATATCATTATCACTATATTTATAATAAATTATATAATGTTATATATAAAATATAATTTTTTTGTAGAGTGTCCCCAACGTTTCCGTGTCCTACTTTTTTGAGAAATGTCGTATCAGCGTGTCCGTGTCATGTCGTGTCATATCCGTGTCCCATGTCCATGCTTCTTAGGTCGTAACCTTCAACTTCTAACAACACGAGGCAAGCTTTAGATGACGCAAGAGAGAGTGATAGAACGAGCAAAGAGACTGAGTTTTTATTATGACGTGAATTTCTTTATAAACAAAATAACGTCGTTTTACTATTTAGCAGACAAAACAATGTCGTTTTGCCAAAAAACTGAGTTTTAAAAAAAATGACTGAATCATGCGATATGAATCGAATCGTACAATTTAAGTGCGATTCAACCCTAAAAACGATTCTCATATAAGATACGAATCGTTTTGTACTTGTATCAAACAAAATCGTGCGATTCGAATCAGGAATCGTACGATTTTAGTAACTGTCATCAACATAAATGACAAGGAGGATATTACCTCCACCAATTCATAAATAAAATATTAAGTGATCTGTTTGGCATCTATGTAAAACAAAATCCAACACAGCCTTTGAAAACTTTCCAAACCACGCGTGCAGTGATTGTTTCAACCCATACAAGGCTTTCTTCAATTTGCACACACTGTCATAATACTCCCCCTAAGCAACAAACCTAGGTGGTTGTTCTCTGAAAACCTCTTCCGCAAGATCACCATGTAAGAAAACATTCTTGACATCTAATTGATACAAGGGTCTGTAAAGGTCAGCTCCAAGTGAAATCAAAACCTTGACATAAGAAATTTTAGCAACTGGGGAGAAAGTCTCTGAGTAGTAAGTTTGGGTATACCCTTTTGGCAACCAAATGAGCCTTGAGATGGTCCATAGAGCCAATCAGAAGAAATTTGATGTTATAGACCCCGCAGCACCCAACAACCTGCTTACTAGGAGGTAAAGGGATAAGATCCTAAATATGAATATGATGAAGAGCATGCATCTCGTCCTCCATAGTTGTCTGCTAGCCCAAATTAAATAGGACATCTACTAAAGTCTTAGGAAGAGAGAGAGTAGATAACTAAGAAGTAAAACAAGAGAATGACAGAGATAACAAATGTGAAGAACTATAATGAGTTATAGGATGAATAGTAACACAAGAATGAGTACCCTTATGAAGAGCAATGGGTAGAGAATCAGACACGTCTAAGAGGATTGAATCCGAAGACGACGAAGAAACCGATGTTGGAGCTATACTAGGTGGCTTGGACCGACAAGTATAAACACGTAAGGGTGTGGCAAGGTGGGAACTCTGTGTCAGGGACAAACTAAGGAACAAATGACAAGGGAACCTGAGTTGGAAAGGGAAACAGGATAGACACAAGAGGTGACAAGTACCCTCAAAGGGAATATAAGGAATAGAAAAATTAGTACACTCCAAAAGGTGACATTAGCACTTGTGAAAGACCTACAAAGAGTAGGACTATAACAACGGTAGTCTTTCTGGGTGTGGGAGTAACCAAGGAAGATGCACTTGGTAGCCTGGGGGTCAAATTTATCAAAACCAGAACCAAGATTGTGGAAAAAATAGACACATCCAAAAACTTTAGGAGGAAAAGAAAATAGTGGAGAGCCAAGAAACAAGATAGAGTGGAGAGTTTTTCCTTGTAAAATAGCATGACATCTAAGTAATAAGATGACCAGCAATCAAGACAGCATCACTCAAAAAATGGTTAGGGACATGCATATAAAATAGGAGTGCTCAGGTCACATCCAATAAATGGCAATTCTCTGGTTCAACCACACCATTTTGTTGGGGTGTGTAAGCACATGAAGTTTGATGCACAATGTCATTTTAATTGAAATAAACCCAAAATGGATTAGAGGTATACTCTTTGGCATTATCAAATCGTAAATACGGATATTACATTCAAAACGTATCTTAATTCGAGGGCAAAATAATTGGAAGATGAAAAGAAATTCAAGGCAAGATTTTATTAAAAACAACCAAGCCATATGAAAATAATGACATTTGATTGGTGGGGTCCATAGCTCAGTGGTAGAGCATTTAACAACACAAATGTCATAAAATAACGAAATCCATTAATAGAAGAATAATTAAAAGGACTCATACATCAAAATGAACTAATTCAAAGAAATAGAGACACGACTATCAATCCTAGGTTTGAATGACACATGATAGTACTTACTAAGTTAACATGCTTCACAAAACAAAAGACAACACATGACTAAGACTAGAAACTTGAGCGTCCAGAACCAAAAAGGATGAATGTCCAAGACAACAGTGTCATTGTAAAAGGGATAATGAGGTCTGTAAGGCTCTTGAAGTCAAGATAGTAAAGATCACCTAATTAATGCCTCGTACCAATCTTCTTTGTCTTGAGATTCTAGAAGACACAAATCGAAGGATAGAATGTCACTGAACAATTAAAAGAGTGAGTACACTTACTAATAGATAGCAAACTAAAAGGAAATTGAAGAACACACAAAACAAAAGATAAAGAGAAAGAATAACTAAGTTGCATAGTACGCAAGCCTGAAACTTGAGAGGATGTACCATTGGCGACAATAACATTCTAAGAAGAGACTACAAGTCAAAAATTAGATAAGTGACCAGAATAGTCAGGCATATGTTCAGAAGCGTCAGAATCAATGATCCACAACTTGGAAGTAGAAGATAGGAAATAAATAGACGTCGTACTTGACAAGGCCAAAATAGCAGTGGGGGAAGACATGGCATGCTTCTAGAACAAAAACTGAGCATGCTCGTTACGAGAAATAGTAATAAGATTAGTAGTTAGCGGTTGAATGTAACCAGAGGGAAAAACCTCCTCTAAAAGCCTGATGAGCTAAGACAGATTGTTTACCATGTAAACCCCCAACAATAATCAAATAGTGGGATTATTACAACCACCATGATTACATTTTCCACATCCTCGATCACCATAACCTCCACGAGGGCCACTAGAACCGCTAAGAGACAACTAAAGCAAAACGATCACCATTAAGCTCAATACTACGAGAAGAGCTAGCATCTGATAGTGTAGAAAATACATATGGGAGCAAGGGAAGTTTAGAACTCCTCAAAATTTGTGCAAAGATATACTCATACCTATATTTCAACCCAACTAAAAATCAAACATCAAAACCCTCATGCTACTGTTGCATACAAGAAATATCAAACGAAATAGATTAATACAGCTTAAGTTCTCGACAAGTCCCCAAAACCTTGGAGAAATACTCTTTAAAGTTCAAATTTCCCGGTTCAAGTCTAAAACATTGTTTGCACACCTCATAGATGCGAGTGAGATTCCCGATACCAAAATACATCTAAGTCAATTGATCTCATATCCCCTTCCGAGTGCCTAGATGAAGTAGAGTAGAACTAATATGAGACTCAATACTATTCAACATGAGTGAAATAACGTGCATCTTCTTGTTCTCATTCTGCAAAACCCAAATAACTTTCTTTTGGTATCTCCCACCAAATTTGTACAAAGTCCTCTTCCCTTAAGGAAAACATCAACCAATCAAGCCCAGAAAACATAATTACTACCATTATGTTTGACCGAGGTCATTAGAGCAAGAAAGAATGGAGCAATAGAGAGAATTGGTGGTAGGGCGGGTGAAGGTGCACATACAAGTGCAGGAGGAGAGGCTGGAGGATCTTCCTTAGAGTCCTGGCCATTCCCTGTTGTAACCCATGAATCTAACCTAAACCCAAAGAGGTAAGACCAAAGCGGAGTATAACAGGACTGAACCAGTGCAGCAGGAGGTTCAAGACACCTGAACCAGGCCAGCAAAGGGCTGGAGACAATTGAACCAGGCTGAGAAGGAGTAAAGCCTGCAGAAGATTGAATCGGGCCAACAGAAAGAGTAAACCAGCCTACCTTAGGCCTGAACCAAACCAACAGAGTGCTGAACAGGGTCAAAAAATAAGAGAACCCACATGGACCGGCCTGAACCGGAGCGGTGGACCAGATTTGGAACTGAACTGGTTGAACCTCAACTGTTGGTGCTGAATTGGCTTGAAGACAACTGGGGCTAGAGTCAACTAGGCTGGAGGCAACAGGCTAGATCTGGTAGATGGAATTGGCCCAAGATGATAAGTTGGGCTATATGGAACAGGCACAAGTTTGATATCCAACAAGTGGATATCCAAACCGAAGAGAAGACGACTTTATTCCTGCCGCCAAACAGGGTCTTCGTCCTCACAAACACAGAACGATGACCATATGGCCATCTCGCCAACTGCGCTGCCGGCAAGAATTCAAGCCACCTTCATGCAAAAAAGAGGATTCCGAACACCAAATCGCAACAAAATCCCACACCCAAGCAGCAAAATTGATATCATAGTTCAATCATGAATTCAATTTGTTCGATTGATGACCTCCACGAAGCAAAAAACACCAACATTTCGCCAGCAACGAACGATGACTGGGGCCAAGAAAACTTAATGCCCAGTCATTGACACCTTAACATGTACTGGATCCAAGGATCCTCACACATGTCGATACTAAGCTTCAACTACCCAACAGAAATGACAAAAAATGAAGAAATAGAGGGAAGACGAGAAGGAGAAAGTGAAACTCTAGCTACTTGGCAAGGATGTGAGCCAATTGTTTTGGCTTTGATACCATGTTAAAATAGAGGATAGGGTTTGGAGGAGGATGCAAGAGGAAAGGAGAATGTAATACCATCTCTCCCCCACTCCATGTATAAATATGTATGCAAAAATAACAGAAAGACTAATATACCCATAAAGGGTAGACTTATTACATCCTTGTCATGCCTATCTTCTAACATTTATGAATATCATAACGACAAAAATGATCACCTTGCAATGCACTCAAAGCCGTGGCTGCACAAGCAGGATTTACAAAATCCACAAAACAAAGGATTAGGGGATCTCCACCACGCTGCAAAAAAGGGTAAACACAGACTTAGTGAAGAGAATAGACTCACTTTTAGACATGGCAATGTTAGTAACTGACAAACAAAGTCAAGCGAAGCAGGCAATGAACCATTAATTAAAAATTCATAATCAAATTACATGTCTGGATTCCTTGATCACGAGTCTAACTTCTCTATACCCTACAAAAGGGCGGAAAATATCTAGAGACGTCGCTAAGGATCATGAATGAATCAGAAGCAGAGGTCAACACTACTGACAAAGATTGTAGAAACTATAAAAACACCTATTAATGGAATTCCTTCCCATCATAATAAAATCTTAAGAGGATACGAGCTACTTCTCTTGTCGTGCTGTTGGAAGGTAGTCCCTCAACATATACAGTACTGGAAGCATCGGGAGGGAGAGGCAGACTTTCGCGGGCCGGCCTTGCCATTGCATCAACTGAGAGCTGACCACCAACTCCAATGCCTCGACCATTTGGTGCTACATCTGAAAAAATAGCCCTTGGCTGACCAAGCCCAACTGGATCAGCCATGGAAAGAGCACGGCTGCCACCACCAACATTGCTTCCTAATCCGACTCCACCAAAATTACTAACTTCAGCAGAAGTATAAGAAGGAAGTTGCTACAAAAGCAACAACATAAATGTTTTAGCACAAAAAGAGGCATAGCAGATGAAAGCAACCATGACCCATACACTCGGAGGGTACCGTATTTTGGAGGTAGCTAGCATATGCTGATCCAATTGTTTTAGTGTCATTCATTCCAGAATATGGGAGATCTGCAATGGTAAGAAGACCAGATTTGAATACCACTTTACTTCGATATGACCGGTATAACAAATCAATCATGAATCTTCAATATACATACAACACATGAAATCAATTTTTTTTTTCATTCCACTCTCCCATACATGTCATTATAATATATGCATCCGCTTACCAAGCAACTTAAATATTCAAGGTTTTACAAATCTACAACAATTTTGTAGAAGGTAAGTAGCAGAAATTAAAAGATACCACCAAGTTGCCAAGGTTTGTTGGGCCTAAGCCAAAGCCCAACTTGAACTTCATCAATGAGAGACTCATGTTGGACAAAATATGAAACAAATAATAATTTCACCACAAATACAAATATAAAATGCAACAAATCCCAGACAATTTTAGCCACATACAGCATATACAGATTATCCCCTCAACATACAACCAATTACAAGTTATGGAAATATTCTTAGCCAAATCAATCACCTTTCAATATCAGATTCCAGATATCAATTTTTATTTTTTTTTTGCAAAAATAAAGCTAACTTCATGGAAATACAGAGGATGATACAACTCATTCCAGATGATCTCAACAGCGTAGAGCATATTTCCTAACATAAATAAATGCCTTTGGGCGTCAAATTCCTGCAAACATCAAATATCTACAGTATTTTGTAAAATACAACTACTTTCAGAATTTTGAATGTCTTTAAGCAATTTCAGCATCAGATTTCATGAAAAAGAGAGTGAAAAGATTCTCGAACATGGTCAATAACAAAAGAGAGAAATGAGTAAAGCCAAAGAGTTGAAACATAGTCAAAAAGAGGGGTGGGAGAGAGAGAGAGAGGCTTATTTTTTAAAACAGGTTGATTTCAGTAAATTGGGTATTGGTTTCACTGGAAAAAAAAAAGGAAAGAAATAAAAATGGGTTAGATAGAAAGCGAGATCAAAGAGAAATGCAGAGAGAGCTGTAGAAAGAGTGAGGATAATGCAAACAAAAAAGAAAAAGACCGAACTGTATGACCCCAAAAAAGTACTTATACTCGGAGTTAGATTCAAGTAGATCTATGAAGTTCAACTGTAGAATTTTGGAATAGAACCAGATACTTATACATGGCTTTCCAATCTGGTGTTATGCATATCAACTATAACGATCAAAGCCACCAGAGCAACAAAAAAATTTTATCAACTACAGGGAAAAAACCAAAGTCTTAGGTGCTTCATGATTATGCCCAAGGCCAAGGGTCTTGATTGCACCTCGGAGAAGTCAATTCAGACCTATTAAGACACGTCAAGTGCACTCACTTTCATCTTCTTGACCACTACTTTTACCAACTGAATTTATATTCTTAACCACCGTACCATTAGCATCATCAACAGCTGTATTTGATAAAACCTCCTTTACAAAAGATGAAAGGAATGTTAACAAATTAGTAGTTTCATCCTTCTTATGGCTCATAATGTTCAAAATTATTTAAGCATTTCTTGTGATATCTGAATCACTTTCATTACATCCTGGCCCCATTACTTGCAGAATTAATGTTACATAAAACTTTGGTTATGTCAGAAGTAGGACAAAGGCCACTTTTTTAACAATAGTTGTGAATGCCCATGCCGCCTCAAAGTTTCTGCCCAGAATTTCCAACAAAATCTTTCACAAACTATGCCTTCAAGGCGGCCAGATCTCCAAACAGTCAAATTTGTGAATGCCCTTAAGACGGCTAGATCTACAAAGAGTCACACGAAAGAACCCAGAAGCGACATTGTTCTATATAGGCACAATAACAAACCCTAGAAACACAAAGGGTTACAATACAGAACTATATACAAGAATACACAATACAAAAGAAAGATTAGATCAAGAAAGTGTCATATTAATGCAGCAAGACCACGAAATTAGATATGAAAAATCAGTTCACCAGAAAACATTCGACTCAATTTCACCAATCGCGTGAGCTCGTACCCATATAGACGATACATTTATATACTTTGATATTGAAATTAGAACGTGGAATAGTTTACCATAGTCAGAACGATGTCGCTTGAGCAAGCTTGCTGAAGGATGCAGAGACGGTTGACTATTCCAGTAGCCATCCGCCATCTCTTCTGCAATCAAAAATCATATTTTCTTTTCTCATTTTTGGAGTCTTTATATGAATATGCTTGCGTATCCACTTCTTACGAGAGAGAGAGACAGAGAGAGACAGAGAGAAGTTATAGTAGTCGAAACCGTAATGGAGAGAGCGTACCTGGCCGGGAGTTTTGAGTTGTGTAAAACCCTAGCTCGGTTTTGGACTCTGCTGCACGCGCCTCGCTAGATGATTCCTCTCTCTTTCACTCTCGGTCGGGGAAGAATATTTGGGAGCGTCGACTGGTTTGAGATCGGTATCAACTCCATTTTTTTTTGTTTTGTTTTTTTTTTTTTTTTTTTTGGGAAAAATTACACTTAAGGTTTAATATACCCTCCAAAGTTTGTACTAATTTAACATTTACGCCGTCGACGTCTAAATTACATCAAGACACTTTAAAGTTTCTAAACATATAATACTTAAATTGCTTAAATTTAAAATAATATTTTAATTAAAGATAGAATATCAAATATTTTAAATTTTATGATCGAAATTCATGTTCTATTGTATCATTTATTGAAATAAAATCAAAAATAAAAATTTAATTTTTTCGTAATTAATATACAATTATATTATCTATTGAAATAACACTTAAAAATCAAACAAGAGGTCTAAGTCATTCATAATATAACATGAATTTTAAAACAAAAATTTATGTTTTATTATATCATTTATTAAAATAAAATCAAAAATAAAAATCTATTTTTTTCTTAAAAAATCATAATTAGTATACAACTATACTATCTATTAGAATAAAACTAAAAAAATCAAACAAGTAGTCAAACTATAATGGACATAATATCTTTGAATTTTAATTGGGATATTTTGGTAGTTTAATTTGATCGTTTAAACAATCAAATTAAATTTCAATAAATAATATAATTGTATATTAATTACAATTTTTTTTAAAAAAATAAATTTTTAATTTTATTTCAATAAATGTCATAATAAACATGAATTTTAGTTGTAAAATTTAAAATATTTGATATTCTATTTTTGATTAAAATATTTTTTTATTTAAATATAACATTTTAAACTTGAAGGATATAAGTATTTTATACTTATAAATTTTAGAAAGTCTGAATATAATTTACTAACGGATATATACATTGACAACAGGGGTATAAGTGTTACGCGCATACAAACTTCATCTAAATGATTAAGTGACGAACTTCAAGGGATCTGAATATAATTTTTCCTTTTTTTTTCGGTGTATAGAAAATGGATAGGGATTTGCACTCTAAAAGATTTAACAAAAAAAATTTAAACTCTTACAAATTAGATTTTTTGTGTTGTATTTGTGATCCTTCTGGTAGTATCTATTGCTTATTTTGTTAAAAATTGTCCCCATTACATTGATAAAATGAGTAATATGAAGCTAAAAGACAAACTATACTACAACACCTTTAATAAATGTAGGATAAAATGTAAAAAATTTAATATGTGAAGGAATAAAATAAAAATTCTTTAAGTCTTTCAAGATAGAAAATAAAATTTACTTTCCCAAAAAAAAAAAATAAACCTTTTGTGTAATATGCGAATCCTACATGTTTAAAGTTAAACAATTAAGATAGATCACAATAATAAATAACATCCAAATATTATAATTATAATTTGGACGTTGATGTCATATTGTCATCCCAATATTTTTTTGTGTTCCAAGTATATCAATCGTCCACTCATGGGTTGACCATCAACAAGTCCAATGGCATTACTTTTATTGGCCGACAATCCTACAAAAAATAAAATAATAAAAGGAAATAAATACTACATTATTATTAGATTATTATATTAAAAATTGTCATTTTATTCGCACCTCTTTTCCTTTAGTGGTATGATTTTGATGCGATAGCGTCTTCTTTTTTGTTTTCTTTTTTTTTCCTTGTAACTTGCTCAACTTTTGATTGCTTCCTTTTGAATGATAGACGATCTTTGCTTCTAACTGCTAATAGAGTAAGTATATTCCTATCATTTACATCGCTGGAGTTTCTACCAACAATTGAGCTAGGACTTGGTTGATAACTTTCACTACCTCCTTCGTTTTGTTGTAGTTTCTCTTTTAAACCATGTATACAATTCATTACAAACATGCACTTATCTTCATATTCTACTGCCAAGCTTGTCAACTTGCTAAAAGCATTACACAATTTATCAAATCATTTTGCTTCAAGTGTGGCACTTAAACAGTTATAACTGATTTTAATCTTTATGTGACATATTTTCATATTCTTCCTCCATCTCCGTACAATGTACTTATCAGGAAGTGAGTAAATCTTTCTACGAACTAACACTATCGTGCATGCTTGCATAATATTTCTATATACTCAAACAAGCAACAATTGCACTTTACTTCATAATCTTTTTCATTGAACCAAACCTTAAAATTTGCACTCCTCAATCATGATATCCTCGTATACATCATATTTAGAAATCAAATCTTTCACTTTGACCAAAGTCAAATCACAATACATCTTCCCTGTCAATACCCTTTAGAACTCCATAAATTTTGAGATAGTGTTAACTCTTTGAACTTGTTTCTCCATATCATATTGGGTTACACAAAAGACTTGCAAAGATAAAGACTTATATTCTTTTTTGGTTATCCTTTTCCACCTTACTTTTCAATGTATTTTCATATTGTTCGATAAATTGTTTCAAGGTAGTCTTAGAGTTGACATAGTCATCAAAGAATGACTTCATACTCTTACTTCGTTGTATGGTAGACATTCCCACCCAAAAAATGGTTTTAACAAAGATCGACACCTAACAATGCCTCTCATTGTACAACCAACTGATCCAATCATTATTATGTTGCATGTACTTTTCAATCATTTAATTCTAACTTTCTTCAAATTTTATACAACTTAATGAATCATAAACGACCCTCTGCAAGAAATATTTTTGATGGATTCATATTGCTCATAACCTCTCAACTTTTCAGGCAATTTCTTTATGATGTGCCATAAGCACCATCGATGTTTAGCATTAGGAAAAACAACCTCAACTATATTTTGCATGGCTTTGCCTTGATTGGTAACTATGGCATGTGGAGTTTTCCAAAACATATGTGCAAGCCACAATTGAAACAACCAAGTATGTTTTTATGTCTTCACTGGAGATCAAACCACATCTAAGCAAAGTCGATTGTCCGTGATGATTAATACCTACAAATGGAGCAAAGGGCATGTCATACTTAATTGTCAAATATGTAGTATCAAATGTAATAACATCACCAAATTCTTGATATGCTATCGTACTCCTCGCATCACCCTAAAACACATTCCTTAACCGACTCTCATCATCCAAATCCATTGTATAAAAAAAAATTGTATTTTCAGCTTGTATCTTTAAGAAATACTTGTGTATTGTAGAGGCATCTCCTTCCCCGAGCCGTAACCGCCTTATTTTTTTAATATAATTTCTACAATCCTTCTCTAAGAAGGAGATAATTTCATGCCCCCCAACTTCAACCACAAAGGAGGTGAAAATTTTATTCAGTCTAATTCCCACTCGATTGTTCAACTCAATCTTCCTTTTCATATGTGGCCACTAGATTGCATCAAAAAAATTGAGTTTTGCTTGGACTCAACTCATGGTTATGATCAAATATGACAATGTTCAGTTGTCACTTTTCACCGGCACACAAAATTGTTAGCATATTAGCCTTACAACCTATTTTTATGCTTGGATATGGCTTCAATGGATTTTTGGAAGTAGACTTTGACTTGCCTGATCGAGAACAAGCAATAGTCACGTATTTCAACTCACCATCATCTCTTTTTGTTGATGATCTTATCTTTACTAGGAACCCTGACCGCTTACCATAACTCGTGTAATACTCAAACAACTGTTTATAATTTTCGAACATCATCCCAATCTTAGGCTCGTCTACATCAACTACATTCGTCATTTTAGTCCCAACATTTTCTTCTATCAGCTGCAAACTACTTGAAGATTCACCTTCCATTGCAATAAAATTTCATTGCAACCCATGTTTTGTTAATTAACCAGAATTTTGTCTAACACAAAATATGCCTAAACACCATAACAAAAGAAATTTATTTATGCTCCATAATAACCAACAAAAGGAAATGAATTTTTTTTGTGTTTGACAAATCTATAAATCAAGCCTTTGTTTGTTTATATATATCAAAATAAATAACTAGAAATATAACAATCAAAAATAAATTGAATCAACCTCCAATTACTACCTAGAAAATAAATAAAATGAAATTCACGTACTGTAGAGCCGACTATGATGGAGTCAATTTTAACAAATTTTCGGGACAATGTGTACTTTGGTGAAAAGATGAAGAGAGAAGAGAACGGCTATAACTTCGACGAAGAGATGTAGCCAATTGGACAACGTGTAATCTGGTGAAGAGATGAATGGAGAGGATAATCGCTATGGCTACAACATCGAGTGGAATGGGTATTTCAAGTGCTTGTGGCTGGTGTCAATTTTAGGTTGGTTTTTCTATAGAAGGAAGCCTATCGTTCATGCGGCCAGTGTCGATTGGAGATTGTGTCACAGTGACAGGTGATTGGGGTACTTTGTCAAAGTTCAAGAGGAGGAGAATTTTAGGGCTTTGGGGAAGAAGGCTTACTTCGTTCGGGGAGGGAGAATGTGAAAAGGGGGCTTCTGAATTTTTTAAGTTGCTGATTTTGTAAGTTTATTTTTTAAAGAAATTAAGTGACTTAAATTGCCGAGTTAGTAAGGACACTTCAGTTGCCACATCATCAAGTCACTTATTTAGATCCAAAAAATCAAGTCCCAATAACATTACCCAAAAACTAATTGAGAAGAACTACTTGGCGCTTTTCAAAACTCCAAGGAATATAGAAACAAAGAAAACATACACACATGCATATACTGAGCATGTGGAATACAAAAAAACACACAGATAAGGCACCACTTCAAGTTTGTTCTTTTGAACTTCTTTATGTATTAGAAAATAAGAAAAATGAATGAAAAAGCGAGATGAGGGGCACGAAATATGATTTCGTACAAGTTTTGGAACCATGATAAAAGACTAAGAAAATCACATGCTTTAGCCAAATGTATAAATCATAAATTAATAGGCCAAAGAGTAGAGCAATTTGAGTCATTTCAGTGATGCATGGCAATCTCTGTAAGAATAGAAGCAAATTTACTTTAGGAGGATCTTCACTTGGCATTCACTGCTATTGACAAAGAAGAAGAGGAAGAATAAGCTAAGAAGAAGGCTGCAGTTGACGAAGAAGAAGCAAGAG